TTTCATCCTTGGTCTTCCTTGACAAGAGAATGTTTCAATAAGTATATCACTTTCCATCTCCTTTCTCTGACTGAACCACTCTTCCATTTTTTGCAATGTCTGATGAGCTTTTCCAGTTTATATATAGATGGCTGATTCTTTTTCACCATCTATGCTGAGCGTTGGGCCACTATGCCACAGAAACAGCCACTTAGGCTCAGGAGTTTGATGAGTCATGCCTGTATTCAGTACATTGCTCACTGCAAAAAGAAGTTTCCACCCATGACTGACTGAGGCTCACACCCACAGATACTTTGAATTAGCTATTATTGTTAGTGCCATTTAATAGAGTATTATATTGAGCCTTGGAGGGGTTAATTTACACATGGTCACACAATCAGTAGTTGACAGAGACATAATTCAGCATAGGTTTATGATACCAATAACCAAGGACAAGGTCAGGTAGAGCACAACATTCATGAATTTGTAAGTTTATTAATTCCTGTCATGAATTTGTGGATAACACAATATTTGATTTCTTCCCTTACAGAGAGGGAATAATTCCATGTCTTTTAGAGTATCTGTGGTGAGTGATTCACATTAGATATTTGTAAAAATATTAATGATGTCTCTAAATAATAAAAAACACTTATGATTATTTATTATTGAACAATCTTATTACCAGCCAGTTGTATCACTCTGAGCAAATTCCTTAACATCTCTGAACTCACACTATTACCTGGAAACTGAGAGCTGGGGACTACAAGATCCCTATGTCCTTTCCAGCCCAGATGTCTCCAAGATCAGTAAGTTAGAACCCTGAGATGTGATAGGTCTACAGGGAAGCAGGGTATTGATGCTCATGGCAAAGCAGGCCTGAAATCATCAGGGAATCTTCCATGACAACCATGTCACTAGAGAGCAAGTGTCTGCAGTGTTCTTTTTAATTGGTTTTACTCCTTTCACCTCAACTCTCTGCGGCACGTTTAAAAGGATTCCTGGTGTTGCTATCTCACTTTTGTAAGTGGGCAGACAGGTTCATGCCAAACACATATGTTAAGAGTACATTAAGGCCAACCTGCAAAATTATTTGGAAAATCAAAAGCATTTCAATCTCTGGCAATAACTGTGCTTTCTTGTAGGATCTGAAGGCCAGAAGAGAGACTTGCAATGTGGAAGCTGCTACTTCAAGATCTGTCCTTTTCACAGTAGGACCTACAGTTCAACAAGGTTTATGGAAATTAATCTTTCCATTTCTTCCCTATCTACTCTCCTCTGTTCATACCCTAAAAATTAGCGTTTCTTTTCTGAATTTCTCTTCTTACCCAGATTCTCTGTCCTTAGAGTAAAGAATACTCTGAAACTTAAATTTCAGGTGTTAGTCTGGGGTGAAAACAGTGGTTGAATTTCTAAGTACGTACCTTGAAATCTGTTATTATTTCTGTTTCCACTGGTAAAGTGGGGATAATAGGATCAGCTAAAACAAGTGAGATTATAAACAAGTCTAGAAGAGTTTTTAACTCAAAACTTGAGTTCTGCATTAAAGCAATAATTTACTGTGTTTCATATTTTCAAAATCAAAAACATGCTTGTCTATATTTTCCAATTTCATCCATTTCCAGAGCTCTTATTGTTTCATTTTTATCCCCTAGGATTCAATCTTTAAATTAATAATTCTATTCAACTTAGCTCTACACAGTAGATCATGAATTCTAGTAGTAAGAAAAAAAATCGAGTCTTAATGATATAACAGACTCCTCATGCACAATCCCTTTAGATATTTAACAGTCATCAAATAGCTCTCCAGAAGACAGTGGCTTTTGTTGTAAGAATATCAGAGATGCCCTCTCTAACCTAGATACTATTTATGACATGGTAAACACTGGGTACATCAAAACATTATTGATCACTGAGAGTGAGTATATTCATTTTTTTCCTGTGACATGAAATATTTTAACAACTTGTATGGTAAAAAAATAAGAGTAAGAAAAGTAATTCCCAATTTTCCAGCCTTATCTAGGAATGGTGGGTTATACAGACTACATCTAACCCTGGATGTCTGTCTGAGCAGAACACGATGGAATGAATGGGATTTAGAGCAACTAGGGAGGGTCACTTATTTTTACGGAATTGACCAATTAAATTTGTGATTGAGAAAGGTTTTCTGTGAGATATAATTTCAAAATATTTTCATTAAACCAAATGCAGCTTAGATAACTGAGAAATGGCATTGGTGACATCTTCCTAAGAATAAACAAAGGTTTCCAAGGTAATAGAACTATAACAAACATGAAGCAAATGTGAGAGTCTTTATTCCATACACAAAGCTGAGTGAAAGAACATTTAACACCACACTCAACATATGCTTATGCAGGCATGCATATGCTAGTGAGCACAATGCTTGGTGCTGAGTTATTAAAACTCTCCTGACTCCATCACTGTCAGCAAATTCTGCTGAAAGGTATTTGGTGTTGAGAAATAAAAGCAGTAACAGGAATTTGTGATCCATCTGGGGCTGAGTGTTGGTACAGAAATAAGAGATGGGGTTATATATAATTATTTCTTACAAACTTTTGTTTATCTATTTTTATTTTATGAATGTTTTGCCCACATGTAGGCAAGTGCACCTTTGTCATGCAGTGACCATGGTGGTAAGAAGCAGATGGTAGATCCCATGGAACTAGAGTTATGGATGGTTGTTAGCCTCTGTGTGTGTGCTGGGAACAGAATCCAAGTCTTGTACAAGAGCAGTCAGTGCTCTTGTCCACTGAGCCATCTCTCCAGCTTCTGTAATTTTTTTTTTTTTGGTCTATTTAAGACATGGTTTCCCTGTAGCCCCAGCTTGACTGTAACTCACTATTTAGACCAGACTATCCTTGAACTCACTGAGATCTGCTTGCTTCTCCCTCCTGAGTGTTGGGATTAAAGGTGTGCATTACCATATCTGGCCAAGCTTATGTAATTATTTCTTAATAATATTATTGAAACCAGACTTAGAGATCATTTATATAGAAATTAGCAAGACCTCCTTATATCTCACTTTCAGTACTGCTGTCATTACTTCTTATGACAAAGAGAAGAGACAATGTGATCAATAATTGCTAACATTTACTGTGTTCAAGGTGTGAATTTAAATATCTCTATTTCTACATGAGGCAACTGAGGCAAACAGGATTAACAACCTGAAAATGGGGATACACTAGTAGGTGAACATCAGAAAATCTCTCTCTCTCTCTCTCTCTCTCTCTCTCTCTCTCTCTCTTGCTCTTGCTTTTATATATCTTTTCTATTAAAGATTTATGTGTCTTAAGAACTTAAGATATAGAACTGTAGAAAATTAGCACAATATATTTAAGTACAAACAAAAAAATCAATATTATACCATTTCTTCTAACATTTGATTTTTAAAATGTATCATTGGACATAGTTTGGATGATGTATATGTATGTCTGTAGGCATTTGTGTGTGTGTGTGTGTGTGTGTGTGTGTGTGTGTGTGTAAGAGAGAGCTACACATTGAGAGAAAGAGATAGAGAAACTGACAGAGACCACATACATGAAATACTTACATAAAGGAAATTCTCAGACAATAGAAAATTTTTAATTGGTCAGTGGTGTGGGTGCCCATTCCTTGTTGATTTAGAAGGTATCTTGCACAGAAAGTGAATTATCACCTTGCTTTTATATTATATGGGTATTCTTCAATTGTATTTAAACTGTGTTTTTAATCTATAGATTTCTTGACTTAACTAGGGTTCCAAATGGTTTGTCCTCTTTTCCACTTATATTTTCTGTTTTGGTATTATTCTCCATCACAAGATTGTGTCAATATACAACTATTTCTTTAATAATTTTCATATATTAAGTTGTGTATTTCTCATAGTACATTAATAAAAAAATTTACACCTATATTATGTTAAAATATGGTTTATAATATAAAAATTCTTATAAATACTTATGTTCCTCTTTTTTTATCTTTTGCTTATTTTCATTTTATGTGCATGAGTGTTTGCCTGCATGTTTGAAGGTGCACCCATGTGTGCAATGCCCCCAGAGACCAGAGAGGGTGTCAGACCTTCTAGAACTGGAGTTATGGTCAGTTGTTTATCACTGTGTGGATGCAGGGAACTGAACTTGGGTCCTCTGCAAGAACAGCCAGTGATTTAATCACTAAGCCATCTCGCCATCCCTACTTACATTTATTTCTAAGATGTATATTTGCTTCTTTGGTGCATGTCTGTCATGGTAAAAATAATAAATTATCGATGTCAAGGCTGTACTTGCCCCTTTTAGGAGATCCTCATGTGGAGCTTCCATAGAAATTTGACAAGTAACTTTTCTTTAAATTTTTAATTTATTAATTTATTTTTAATTTATGTGTATGAATGTTTTGTCCATGTGTATGAATGTTTTGTCCATGTGTGTGCAGGTGTACCTATGTACTGAAACATTGCAACATCCACAGAGGCCAGAAGAGTGTTGTCTGAGCCCCTCGAACTGGAGTTAAGGACAGTTGTTAGCCGCCAGGTGGGTTTTGGGAACCAAACCCAGGTCTTCTGCAAGAGCAGGTAGTGCTCTTAACCTCTGCACCATCCCCAAAGCCCCAAATAATTTTCTTAATGTTCAAAATATATATTTAAATCAACATTTATAATCCATGTTGGAACATTATTAAGAATTTGTTTTGGAGAATGCCACTTATGCTTTATGTGATTATAAAGCAGCAACACACAATGAATTATCAAATGTCTGCTGGAACACATATTCCAGTTTTCCACATGTCCCTTACATAAAACAACTACAACATTTCTTACTGTGTGGTGTATGTTATGTGTATATGAATTCATAGTCATGTTTGCACACAAATCATAGAACTCCTATAGTGTTAGTTTAGTGGGTTTTAAATGTTCCTTACTAGGGCTCATTGGAGAAGATGAGTAATGAGAAAATGGTAATGCTCTCATTGCCTCTGAGCCAGCAATGCATTCTCATTTCCTTTCTGACATTAGACTCACAGAGGCAATGACTGGGGGAAGAAATAATACAGAGATGACAGCATTCATCCTCTTGGGATTCTCAGATTTCCCCAGAATCACAGCACTGCTCTTCATCATATTCCTGCTAATCTACATCACAACTCTGACTTGGAACCTGTGCCTCATTGTTTTAATAAGGATGGCATCCCAACTCCACACAGCTATGTATTTCTTTCTCAGCAATCTGTCTTTCTTAGATCTCTGCTATGTCACCTCTACAGTTCCCAAGCTGCTCTTCAACTTCTTCCAGGAAAAGCAAACTATCAGCTTTGAAGGCTGCGTAGTTCAGTATTTCTTCTTTTCTATGCTGGCGCTGACTGAATGCTGCCTCATGACAGTGATGGCTTATGACAGGTATGCTGCCATTTGTAAACCACTGCTCTATGTATCCATCATGTCACCCACCCTCTGTATTCGGATGGTGATGGGATGCTATATGGCAGGACTCACAGGTTCTTTATCTCAGACATGTGCCTTGCTGCAGCTCCACTTCTGTGGACCTAATGTCATCAGGCACTTCTTCTGTGACTTAACCCAGCTCGTACACCTATCCTGCAGTGGCACACTCCTTGCACAGGTCCTGCTTGCTATATTAACAACGTGGTTTGGAATAGCAAATGCTGTAATTATCATAATATCCTATATTTGTATTGCCATGTCCATCATGAAGATCACATCAGCTAAAGGCAGGTCCAAGGCATTCAACACCTGTGCTTCTCACCTGACAGCTGTATCGCTGTTCTACGGTTCTGGCACATTCATCTATTTGAGTTCAAGTTCTGGTATCTCCTCCAGTATTGACAGATTTGCTTCCATGTTCTACATTGTGGTGATTCCCATGTTGAACCCCTTGATTTACAGTCTGAGGAACAAGGAAATCAAAGATGCCATGAAGAGATTGCAGAAAAAGACAGGCACCTGCTAAGGTCACAGTTTCTGAGATTTCTGATATGTTTCCTGTTAGAATCACCATTACCTACTGCTTGATTGGAACATTGCTATGTTCGTGGGACTTTAGATAAAAAGTCTTAATTTGAAGCAGACAATATTCTTATTATTATTTCTAGTTGAATTTTTGTGTATTTCATACAACACATCTTAATCATATTTAGACCCCCGTCCTTATCTGCACCCCTTATAGATTTTATGCATTGTATCATATATGTTAGATATATGTAACATATGTATCATATATGTTATAGATTTTATGCATTGTATCATATATGTTAGAGTCCGTCAAATCAAGTTTGTTCCCCAAATGTCCCTAAGTCTGGTCAACCTATGTAATGTCACTTCATTAATGAATTCCAGCTCTCCCTCACCAAGCAGTGATCAGTTGCCAGTATTTCTTCAGCTAAGCTTGGAGTTTCTTATCAATTTCCCCACTTCTATGCTGGGTTTTTGTCTAGTTTATGTTTACATAGCTCTTGTGCATGCTGTCACCATTGCTATACGTTCATACCAGCAAGTTCCTAGCTGCCTGGAAAACTCTGTTACCTTGTGGTCAGCCACCACCCTTGACTCTTACAGTCTTTCCAAATCCTCTGCTTCAATGATCCCTGAACCCTAGTAGCAAGAGGTTTAATATAGGAATCCTATCCAGGGACACACCTCCTAATTCTCTACATTTTCTCCAGTTGTGGCTTTCTATGTTAATTGCAATCTGTTGCATGCAGAAACTTCACTGGTAAGAGTTGAGAGATATGTTAACATTCTCTCTGTCCCTGTTTTTCCTTTCCGTGAGCTTTACATATAAAGGTTGCATTGTAGATGTATCTCGGTGCTGGGAATCTCTCAAACATTTATTTTCTGTGTTTGAACAATTATGGAACTCTGTAATAGTCTCCATCTGATACAAAAAGAAGCTACTTTGATGAGTGCTGAGAGGTATATTTGTCTCTAAATATAAGGATACATATTTAGCATACATTAAGAAATTATGTTTCTCTAAGAATGTGATAGATTTAGGGTTTTATGTAGGACAAATGACCTCTCCAGTCATGTGTATTTGGCTATGCTTACAGTACTACACATGAGTTCCCTCCCAGTGAGCAGACTTTAAATTCAGTCAGATAAATGTTGATTATCCCCAAGATAAAAGTGCCACCACTGACTGCATCAATACAGATAGCTTGCTGTACTGGTCATTGTTGTGTTTATTAGCACTGTAGCTGTGTTGGATCATTGATTAATTTTCTCTGTTAGCAGCTTGAATACTGTCCTTTAATACAAAGAGAACTAGTCTTCAGGGAGAAGGCTTCCAGGTTAGTCCCAGCTCCGTTGCTCCAAGTCCTGCATCCAATGTCTTGTCTTCAGCAATAAGGTCTTATCTTCAAGTACTAGGAGGCAATCAAGGCTGTGGCAACAGCCTCTGTTATTTTGGGATTCTCTTGGGCTACTCTGACCAGTGACTCAACGGGAAGTTTCTCCTGTCTGGCACTGTGTTTCTTGTTATATAGTTTTTAGCTATAAACTTGCACTCATATACCTCCAAAACCTTTTGCGTATATATCAGGATGTAACCACAGAAAAACAGAAAGGAACCATGGGGATTAAGGGAAAGAATGATCTCAAGAGAAGGGGATAGTAGGAGATAGGTGCTACCAAGAGGGAAATGGGGGAAAATGGGATATTTATTAGGAGGAGGAGGGGATTTATAGAAACTGAGTTGTTATGGTGCCCTGCAGAATACCTTGATTCACAGTTAATCCTGGTGTGATGGTTCACACCTGCAATCCCAACATTAAAGCTGATACAGGATGATTGACATAGGCGAAGTCAGGCTACATAATTAGTTGCAGCCCACTTTGTTCTATAGAGTAAGAACATGTCTCAGACAAAAAAAAAAATGAGTGAACATTTTAACAATAAACTCCCTTCTAGAAAGAAGGCTTTACAAGACCTTTCCCTGAGGTACAAGTCACCACCTTCTTCTGTCTGAGCTTCACATAACACTATATGTGGTCATTTGGGTGCTAGTGTATGTAGGACATGTATTATTTACTGACTCTAGTGTTGCAGCTCCCTATGAGTCAAACAATGCTGGGGGAGTGGACTTATCCATGGCAATCCTCAAGACTCAACCATTTTCCTGTAAGTCTAATAAATGCATTTTCCCCCAGCTAGACTTAGAATCCTTTCTTGGGTCTGTCAATGCCTTCTCTATCTGAACAAAGTAGATATTTATTTGCATCTTCTCATGAATAGTCTTACAGTGCCAAAGAAGCTCCAAGGACCAATGGAGGCAGTTATGCAGACTCAGTTGTAATTTCTGGCTAATAATCTTACATTGGATATAAAGCTTATGGTTCCAGATCTCTGGTTTAAAACAGGACCATGATGTATAAAGAATAATGGCCACTGATTTGTTACATTGCTTAGATTTGAGCAAATTGGTTAGTAATGCTGTCATTATATTTACATCTTCACAGATTCATTAGATTTTAAAATTGTCTTGGGGTCTCAATTATGGTGACTCTCAGGAGATATTTGAATGCTTTGCCAAATCTTCCTTGAATTCCCACATGGCCAGAATTGAGAGAAAGAGTAGTAGTGTTTGTTGTACTACCTCTTAGAGGATGCATAGACTCACTCCATGCTAAGGTAAACAATACAATATGAATAGACAATATATGGCCACCCACACACATATAGTTATGTGTCATGAACCATTGTTATTTAAAGATATTTAAAGACATATGATAAATCAGTTCCCAATGGGCCATAAGACCTTAAGTAGCTGGCAAATCCATACTAGGATTTACTGAAACTATTTCCATAATAATGCATAGGTCCATTCCTTGATTTGTACTAAGGAGGTGATGTGCAGGCATTGCTCATAAGATTTATAAGTAGACTTCTAAGAGCTGTGAAAGATGGCTGAGGTCCCTGGGAGTGGCTGTCTTCTGAGAACTGACTCCATAGTTGCCACTAAGACCCATTATCCATAGGTGCTTTTTTGGGTGCTGTCAATAGAGAATTTACTTAAGGAAAGAAATAGGGAAAATGAAAACAATTATTTGGACTTGCTCCTGGGGAAGCGTGTATATTCTAGATTGTACTCTTAGCTAAACTGCCTATTGTAAAAAAGGCTACCATAAGAGACTTAAAAGATAGTTTAAGGTTGTTCCCAGTAAAGATTTAGCAATAAAATATACATTTCACTATCCCAGCTATCACTAAAGTTTTTCTAGATAAATTTATCAGTGTTTGTTGTGAGGATGAAAAAAAAGAAAAAGAAGACTTTCTGTCTTCAAAGACTTTTCCACTTCAAACTTAATGAGGAAGTAATACTCTATAAATAAACATTTTGAAACCTACAATGGCATACCCCTTTTCCCACAACTCCTTTTATCTGCCATCTCTGCTCTGATTGGACACTTGTGGACCCCCAGATCTGGTTGCTTTCCCAGACCTGCTTTGGTGATTTTCCTTTCCCACTCCTCCCTCATTCCATGGTTTTAGCTCTGCCAGGACTCTTGGATGCTCTGGGGTGAGGGCTTTCCCAGACTGGCCTCGTTGTACTATCTTTTCCAGAGCTCCCTGAAATTGCCATCCATGCTGTTAGGCCCCTTGTGTACCTCCAGATCTGGAAGTTTCCCAGATATATCATGGCAAGTTTTGTTTCCCACACATCCCTATGTTCCACCATCACCATCTCAGCTCTTCCAGGACACTTGTGTACTGCTGGGACTTTTCTCAGACTTGCATTGTTCTCAGGCCTTCTGGGGTTAATAGGATCCTTCTGCCCCAAGGCCCATGACCATTCCCAGCCTGACCTATCAGCTAACCTGTTCACCTGGCAGCAACCCACCTCACCCTGTAGTTTCTGAACCATGAAGAGTCAACCTTGGAACATCAACTCAAAAGTTTAATTGATCTCTATCTTAAAGGTGACCACTCCTTACTCACTATTTGTATGTTAAAATACAGTGACCCCCAAACTGAACACCAAGTACTACCCATCTAGGCCATGAATGGGCAAGGTGGGGAAACAGCAAACACAGATATAAACAAACATTCAACAAAGAGGAGATCACCTACCCAAACCAAGAGACAACACCAATGACGTTAGTCCAGATGTGCAGGTCTCATTGAAAAAACACAAACAACACAAATAACCAAGATAATAAGTCTAATACAGAAATGAGCACTCCACTGTAATGTTTCCTGAGAAGGGCACCTAATGGATGCACAAGACAATGATTTCAAAACAATTATAGGTATGTTCAAGGAAGTCAACGATGCAAACAAAAGACTAAGACTGAGAAAACACAAACCATTGAATGGAATAAAAAATATATAAAACATGAAATTAGAATTTATTAGAGATAGGATCTCTGAAGAAAAGCCAAACTAAAAGAAAACTTGAAGTAAGAAAAAAAAAAAAAGATCAGGGACTCAAACAACAAACCTGGAGGAAAGAAGCAAAAACGGAAGTGGAGGAAGTAGAACATAGTATCAGACCCTGAAGACAAGCTTAAGGAAATGGCTCACTCAGTTAAAGAAAAGATCAATCTAAAATAACCCAGGGACAGAATATGCAAGACATCTGGTACAGTGTAAACAGAGCAAACCTATGGATAAGAGGTGCAGAAGAGGGAGAAAAATCCTGGTCAAAGGTACAGAAAATATATTTTTTAAATTTTTATTGAGATTTTGTAATTTCATACAATAGTTCTTAATCCCTCTCTTCCATCCATGTCCCCATCCCCCAACTGGACCTCATGTATTCCACCGTATAGGTTAAGTCCTATCCAGTCAAGGACATTTGTAGCCAGATGTCCTTCAATGTAACTTCACCCACTGCAATCTAGTCAGCTCATCTACAGATTGTATGTAAGGCATACTCTCCCTCACTCAGTAGTAGTCAGTCTCCAATAGTTCTCAGTCTGAGGCTGGCCCACCACCCATTTCTCTCCTCCC